AAACTGGACCTTTTGGTTGCTGGTGACAAGATGTATATGTTTGTGCTTTTATTGCAATACACAACGCCAAGTGCCATCTTGTTAGGAGCCATTGCTAGGTTGAGGGGTTATGCAGTTAGTGAGGCTTCAGCACTCCTCTTCTGGCAGCATATCTTTGCTGTGTTCTCTCTTTCAGTTTATGTCTTCATCTACTTTAATCTGATCTCTTATATTTGAAATTTATTTTGTCTTTCTGCTTCAAGAAAAATGAAATGCATAATATATCTTACTTGCATAAGTTTTGGGAGATCTATTTGTGATTRTTACATATAATGTTGAAAATCATATCCCTGTTTAGATTATCCTCTGTTGTCCTTGGAAGTCCTTGCTTGACATACTTAAGGTGAAGAAGCATAATTATTGTTAAATGAAATGTCTAGTGTACTGCGGTGCCTACGGTACATACACATTCCTACACCTGCATGTAGATCTTTTGTTACACCTTTTATCTATTAAGAATTTTTAGTTTGCAACTTGGGATTGTATACCTTATCCATCCTAACCAGAAATTACTGTCCTCCTATGTAGTGTTAATAGCTGAATGGTCTATTAAGGACTGATCTTTGCTGAGCTGAATAAAGAAGAGATGATATGTTAGGATATTTTAGGTATGATTGAGTTTTTGATGTCATTAATACACATTCAAGAAATTCATGACATTCTTTTCTATTGATTAGCTGATTTCCTCAATTCAAGAAATACATATATTTCTCTCACCATGGGTCCAAGAAGTATATACTTTTTGTTGATTGCTAGTTCAGGAAATACAGATTAAAATCTTGATTGTTTCTTGGTAGAACGAGTTTTTGATTGCATGGTGCACACCTTTTTGAAATAAAGAAATTGAAAGTTTTCTTTGTATTTTCTTTGCTCCAAACCTAAATGCTGAGTCAATTAAATCATCCAGCTTGGTCTCATTGGGTTAGACAGTTTTTTTTTTTTTTTTTTTTTAATTCTTTTTAGAATCCCTATTAACCAATCACACCGAAGCCCTGTTAAACATCGAGATCCTTAATTTTCTTAAAATCCATACATCTTACTTGGTTCTCTGTTGCTAATTTATCCCTTTTCATTGTTGAAATTATATCCTAGATCCTAACTTAATCCTTTTTCCAAATCCCTGAGATGCCCCCACAAGCTGTATTACATGCCGCTGTATGCTATAGGCTGAAACAAAGAATATAAAGAAAGAAAGAAAGAAAGAAAGAATTTCCATCCTCCCAATAGATAGTTTGTCTTATGATTCCTATCTTGGATGGTGTAGTTTGTTTTGCCTGTCAAAAATATTGTGTTGACATTTTTTTTCTTGGTTTTTGTTTTTGAAGTATGGGTCCCTTCATATTCTGAAGTCATAAATGCACATTTTTATTGATTATTGCAGCTGTAAAAGCTGAATCTATTTCTCAGAAGAATGGTAGCAAAAGCACTATTGTCCCCATCATTTATAGGGTTAGCAGTTTCTGTTGCTTTTGTTTCTCTTGTACTTCGATTTCCAGTTAAATCACCAGTTCAGGCAAGGCTGTGGACTTCTGAAGAGCTATCGATTCCAGTTAAATCATCAGTCTAACGATTTCCGTTTGAGACGGTGATAGAATGGAGGTATTTGTCGAGTTTCTAAAAATTTCAGGGAGATATTTTTTAAAATGAATCTATAGGGGAGGTTTTTATATTTTACCCTATATAATAATTAATAACCATTTATATTTTATATATTACTTTTAATAATTTTTTTGCAATACAAAAATAACGATAATTAATTTTAGATAGGATTGTTTATTAAACTTAGGGATGGCAATTTTTCCCATTTTTCTTATTCCCATGAGGATTTACCCCAAATGGGGCGGGGATGGGGATGATTTTTCCCCGCGGGGACGGAGATAGGGAAATTTTCGTTCCCATTTGAGGGACTAGGGAGAGCACTCCATGCCCCACATGGACCCTAATCCCTGCTCCATGGGATCCCCGTAAATGTATATATACACATACGTTTATATATGTATATATGTACACATACATCTATATGTTAATATTTTTAAAATAATGGTTGAATATGTTTGAATCTTTTCTAATAGTATTGTAAATTTTGGTTATTTTATTTTTATTTTTAAATAAAAAATCAAAACGTAATGGTTGACCTCATAAAAAATCATGGGGAGTGGGGATCCTTACGGGGATGGGGATAATTTTGTCCCCATTAGTGAGGATGGGGATGGGGACGTGGATGGGGATTTTTGCGGGGATAGGGATGGGAAAGGCTCCTCGTCCCTGCCTCATCTCGTTGCCATTCTAAATCAAAATAATGAAATGGACCAACCCGATTTCTAGTATTTCCAGTCGGATTTAGTTCAACAATTTTCTAACCCGACTAGATTGGATCATTTTTGCTTTGGCCATTTGTAAATCGAATAAAATCAAACGACACAAAAAATTGGGGAAATTTCAATATTTCTTAGGCTAAAATAGTTTATATCATAAATTTATTTTTTTAAGTTTATATATTTTGAACCTATCGACCAAACCAAAAATTGACCCAACCTGATATAACTTGAGTGGCCAACCCCTAACCTAATCAGGTCACTTTGGTTGGCCAAACAATTTACAACTAAACCGAATCAACCCATGAACAATAGTTTACTCTCCAATAATTATTAAAAATTTATAGGGAAAATACACAAATTAAATTTAAAACAATAAATAACCAAAGTAAAATAGATTTATACATAATTATTAAAAATATATTTATCACAAAAAACAATAAATATTTACTAAAATACAATAAATATTAATTTTAGTATAGATAAATATTAAATAAATAAATATTAATATTTTAAAATTATTATAAATAAACAATAAAGTTTTTGAAAGTTATTTTCTAGAATTATTAATTGGTATAAATGAAATTAGTTTTTTAAAATATTATTTATTTATTGAAATAATATAATTATTTAAATTTTAAATATTAATTACTTGTTGAATTTAATAATCCATAAAATTATAATACTATTATTAATACATAATTTTGTTATTTTAACTATTTAAAATCTACTTATGTTAAATATTTAGTTATTTAACTAAGTATTTAAAATATTAATATATTTATTATAATTGAAAGTTATTCAATAATTATTTAAAATATTAATTTTAATATTTTGTTATTTAAGATATTTAGTTATTGAAATATTTAAATAATATTTTATTTTTATTGTTAGATTTTAATTATTTGAATAATCAATCTTTTGAACAAACAAACCAAACCGAAAATAGACCCAAACTGATACAATCCGAGTTGGTGGGTTTTCAATAATGGTCAATCAGTTTTGGGTGACAAACTCTCGATCTAACCATGTTAATTTCGTTAAAGAAATAGCTTGCAACCGAACTAAACCAATCCTTGAACACTCCTAATTTTCGATAAATTAATACTCTAATCTCTAATAAATAACAATAGTTTAATCTCCAATAATTATTGAAAATTTATAGCAAAACACACAATTATTGAAAATAAATTTATAATGAAAATAAAATAGATATCTAATAAAAATACAATAATTAAAAAAAATACTATAAATATTGAAATTATATTAAATTAATTAATAAATAGTTCAATTTCAAATAATAGTTTAATTTGTAACAAATATTAATCAATGAATTAGAAAAAATATATAATTACTAAAAATATATTTATACAATAAATACGATAAATTAAATATCAAAAGTTAAATAATAATTGTTTAATCTCAAATAGTGATTGACAATTTATTATTAAATAACAAAATACAAATAGATTTATAAATAATTATTAAAAACATATTTATCAAAAAAAGTATAATAAATAATTACTAAAAGTAAAATAAATATTACTTTTAGTGTATATATAAATATATAATTAATATACACTATTATTGTAAAAATATTACTAATTAATATTATTTTTAGAAAGTTATTTTCTATAATTATTAATTAATATATGTGAAATTAGTTATTTATAAAATTATTTAGTTATTTAAATAATATTGTTATTTAAAATTTTAAAATACTAATTATTTATTGATTTTTATAATCTGTAAACTTATAATTAGTACTATTATTACATAATTCATCATTAATTTTGTAAAATATTAAATTATTATTAATATGAATATTATAAAATCTATTATAATTATTTTTCTACTTTTAAGAATCTTTTTAAAATTTTTACATAATTTTGTTATTTTAACTATTTAAAGTTTAGTCATGTTAAATATTTCATTATTTAGATATTTAAATAATATGTAAAATATTTTAAAAAAAATATTATTTTAATTTTATTTATTTTAATGTTATTATGTAATATTAAATATTTTATTATTTAAATATTTAAAGTGGGGGAACGTGGTGCCACTTGGCTAAACATTAGAAAAGGAAATCCTTGTATCAAAAAAAAAGAAAGAAAGAAAAGCAAATCTCTCTTTCTTTATGGTTGCTAGAAATTGTTAAGCCTATGTTATTTTCTTATTGGTTTAATGGGTAACTATGTGGTATTAAAAAAATAAAAAAATTCAAAAAAAACAGAAAATTAAGAAGAGGGGTTTAGAGAAAGGAGAGGCATGGTGACGTGTGTGTGTGTGTGTATATATATATATATTGTTAGGTGTCATATGAGAATGAGACAAAACACTCTAAAAAAACCATGGTTTTCAAAACCAGACTGGATCGGACGGTCGGACTAGAAAAATGGGGAACCGGTCACTTTCCGTTTTTCCCCAAAACCGTTGATTTTGGTCAGCAAACTGCTGAGCCGACCAGTTAATCATTCGAACGGTTTTGACTGTTTTTCAATTTTTTTTTTTGTCAGAAAGGTCTAGCCGTTTGGGTTGAACGGTTGGACCGTTCAAACCGGTAACCGGACCCCTGACCGGTTCAGTCACCGGTTCGGTTTTAAAAACCATGAAAAAAACTTAAAATAAGTTGTTTTTATTATAAGTAACAAGTAAGTTTTACAAAAAAAACATAACCACTTTTTATTTGAATCCAGATCTACTCCTCACGGAATGATCGTGATCACACCAATCTCACAATACATCCCAGCTGCACATGGGAACATCTCCTGTATTTATGGGGAGACGTTCCCAATACCTGATGGGATTTGCTGTGAGATCGGTATGCTCTCTGAGGTGCATTCTGTGAAGAGCAACATGAGCAAATCCCAATTCTGAGGTGCATTCTGTGGAGAGCAAATCCCAATTGTGAGGTGCATCCTGTGAAGAGCAAATCCCTTTTCTTTTTAATTCAATCAAATAGCTAGGAAATTGCTGACATGGCAATGTTTCATGAGAAAATGGCCATATTACCAAACGCCATCTAAAAAGAATTAATGATAGTAAAACTAGTAAAATCTCCACATTTAGGCCTTGTGATTTCTGTTGCTTTCCTCGATATTTTGTTTGGGTTTTCAGTCAAATCACCAGTTCAGTGGAGGCTGTGGATTTCATTTTCCATAGAGCTGTCTATCTGTAGTGGAACACTGGAACTGCTGATGGATTACCCATCCACTTAACAATGGGCTCTGTGTTTGATGTAACCAAGGGGAAAGGTGTCTCTCTCACTAAGTCACAAGGTGCAGTTGGGGCTTACAGGTAGAACCACTTTGCAGGAAGAGATAGATGCTTGTTGTGCATGTGTTTCAGTTTTCGAGTTATTACCTATTAGTACATGGCTTAACCATTACTTAGATATGATGAAGAGCGTTTACACATTGATTGGAGGAACCTCTGCTTAAACGATACACATTGTGGCTCGAAAATTAGTCATTCAATCGAGCCGAGGGATACCATGAAGCAAGTTTTTGAACTTGAGAAGCTAAGCTTCTAGCTAGAGAGAAGAAGCTAAACTTCCCTGGTGGCAGTTCATGGGGGAGTCAGCAAGAGGAGAGGTCTGGTGTGATAATAGGGTATCCAAGATTGGTACAAAGAGAGAGAGACCTCTGGAAATTGCTTTTGCTTTTCCTGGGAAACTGAGCATCCACTGTTCATGGTGAATGGCAAAATCCAACCCCGTGTCCACCTATATTAACAAACCTACAGAGCTGTTCTTTCTAATTTTGAAATTTTCGTAGAGAAGAAATTATTGTTTACTGTGGATTTCTTGCCTAAAAGAAGTTGCCACTTGGTGAGCCAAGCTTAAGCTTAAGCTCATCACCTTAGGTTCATCCTAGGCCCAACTATTAGTTCATGACCCTGAGCCTGTCAAGATAGGATCTGAGTTACTAGCTTTCTTGTTCGTATCTCTTCCACTTTCATCACTTCTCTTAAGATTGCAACACAGAACACCCCTAACTTGAGTGGGATGAGTGAAACTTTTGGTGGGTTACAATGAAGAATGCAATCAAAGCTGGAGAGCTTGGGCATTATTCTTATATTCCACGAGAGAGGAGATCAATTTTTTAATAGAATGCATGAATTACCATATATAGACAGATTTCAGCTCAATCCGTAAGAAAATATGAGGTAGCCACACAGAATAGTTATGAGGAAATAATGGCCTATGGCTATAAATTAATGAGCTGATCTATATCTCAACTTGTTCATGAGCAATCTAGACGTCGTTAGTT